AATCGATGCACTTCAAGGAATAGATGGTATTAATGATTCTCATCACCTTCTTTCCAAATATCCAGGCACCATCAATGGNGAATTTTTTTTTTTTTAATGTTGCAATTATTTTATGAGTTTAGGAAATACATACTTATGAACAAACTTAAAATTGCAAACCTTCATACACATTGAGGACCAAGGACTGCCATTTTTCGCCATCTAATACACTTTTTGTTGAGGACCAAAGACATGCTCCTTCTATCGTCCAAGGCACTTTGTGTTAAGGACCAAGGACTGACTCCTTTAACTGTCCAAGACACTTTGTGTTGAGGACCAAGGACTTGTTCCTTCCATCGTCCAAAGCACTTTGTGTTAAGGACCAAGGACCGGCTCCTTCAACTCTTCAAGGCACTTTGTGTTAAGGACCAATGACTAACTCTTTTGACCGCCCAAGATACTTTGTGTTAAGGACCAATGATTAGCTCCTTCAACTGTCCAAGACACTTTGTGTTGAAGACAAGGACCTATTCCTTCCATCGTCCAAGGCACTTTGTGTTAAGGATCAAGGACTGGCTCTTTCAACTGTCCAAAATACTTTGTGTTAAGGACCAAGGACTGGCTCCTTCGACTGTCCAAGGTACATTGTGTTGAGACCAAGGACTGGCTCCTTCAACTATCCAAGACACTTTGTGTTGAAGACCAATGACATGTTCCTTCCATCGTCCAAGACACTTCGTGTTAAGGATCAAGGACTGACTCCTTCAACTGTCCAAGACATTTTGTGTTGAGGACCAAAGACTGGCTCCTTAAATCGTCCAAGACATTTTTTTATAGAGGCTGCTTACATATTTAGGAGACTCGGGATTTTAAACAATAAACCAATTTGAGAGGTTTGTTGCCCCCCCTTTTTTTTGGCTAACATTTTTTTTAGGCATGGCTGGAACAAGTTCTGACGATAAAGTGTACTCTGACATGCACGAAATTGTTGAGCTTAAAAATCAAGGCAAAAGTTATTTGCGTTTCAAAGATACTGATGTGAAGTACCATGCCCAGATCGACGTACGAGGTAAACTTAAATTTAGTGTCCATAAGCCAACGATAGATCTTTTCCCTAACCTTCTGGAGCCATTGTCGGATATTTCCACCATTAGTGAATGTCAAGAGGGTTTGGATACTGGCAAGTCCAATCACTCTAGCAGTCATCTTCCCTTTTTGTGTCTTCCGCCTCATCATTCCCAGAGCATGGAGTACATTCCAAGGGCTGTGATTTGTGAGAAAATTGATAATAGAGAAATACGATGGGAAGCACATTGGTAAGTCGAGGACAGATTTCTTTTCTTCCAAAATTTTGGGAGTGGTCTTTGCGGGCCAGAAACTTCTGCTCAAAAGAAACCTCTGCGAGTTAGCTTTTGCAGTCAGTTCTGCTGCAAAAGATTACCATCACCCAGACTCCATTTACAGAGCTCTTTGTGAGGTTTGGTGTCCAGAAACCAACACCTTTGTGATTGCCAATGTTGAAATTGGCATTTCTCTTTGGGACATCTGCGAGATAAGTAGACTTTCGATCATGGGTCATTATTATGAGGAAGTAGTCCCAAGCCTTTCAGAGTTGACGGATCATCTTCCCAAGTCTTGTTTGTATCTCTTTAATGTTTTCGCATTGATTGCTCATGCGAATGAATCTGACAGAGTTACTCACGAACAGTGGATTAATTTTTGGTTTCATGAGAATGGTTGTGTCCCGAACCCTCGACAACACAAAAATTATAAGAATGCTATGAATTTAAATCCATTCAAAAGGCGCCATCAAAGAACATCGAAGGAAATACGGAGGCCCGTGGTGGTAGACAAGCCGAGAGACTTACTCGTAGGGATCGACGTCATTGGGGTAATTTTCCAGTATCTCTGTCTGTGGAAGAAGAAGAGGAATTAGAGATAGCAGCCTATCTCTCCCTATGGCTTTGTCGCTTCGTCCTTCCGTCTAGGGACGAAAGTATAAGAGTCAGAACTTTTAAAGCATCTTCTAGGATGGCAGGCGGATACATTTATAGTCTAGTTCCACCCCTATTGGCGAGCATTTATAGTGGACTTACACGAATATCTAACTATCAAGCAAATCCAGACCTTGGCTCAATTTCACATTCATTTCCTGGACATTTTCTTTATGCTTGGGCAACAACTTATTTTGTCTGAGGTGTTTATGCTCATGTAGACAAGAGTTATTCTCGCCTATAATTCGAAGATATGCCGAAACTCTGAACACTTTTCAATCTTGGGAGAAAAATGTCGTTGATTGTCGGGAATTTATCCGTGGAGCGATGAACACCGATAACTTTTGCTGGAATCCATTACCCTCATCGTCTCATCCTGATGTACGTGTGGATGACCAACCGAGGTCTGCAGATACTTCAGAATTCATGATGAGTATTCGATCTGGATTTGTTTCTTATCGTTGAGGAAATTTACTTTTCATTCTTGAGGCGTATAATCCTCACAGGTTTGCGAGGCAGTTTGGCGTTAGACAGAAACTTCCCGGTTCACCAAGAAAGTTGAATATTGCCCCAGTGTAGGCGACATGTATCGGGTTTGGTTGTCCTTAACTCAGATAAAAAGTGGGTCTGTATTTCATATTCCAGATTATGTGAGGGATATACATGAAAACATTGATGTTGAATACCAGGCTTGGTAGAATAGCAAAGTGTTACCACTTTTGACCAAGGTCCAGGTGCAAGTCTTATTTTCTAGTGAGAGCCGTGAATTTGTTCTTAGCTTGACTTCGAACAGGGTTTTAGCTAGAGGGTTAAACCCTCCAAATGCTGCTCCTAAAGAGGCTTCTCGAAAGAGAGATCTAAACCAGCAAAATGAAAGAGGTATTAAGAGAATCAAAATTGTAGTTTCCTTGGCAAAGGTTGCTGTCACCTCTGAGCCTGCTGATAAGGTGCTAGAAGCAATTTTGATTCCAGATCACAGTAGTCCTGGAGATCGAGCATCACAAGCACCAAGAAAGACTATGACTCCAGAAGATGAAAGTTCTGGAGATCAGGTATAGTTCTCCCTTTTTTATGTATTATTTGTATCTGATTTTCTGTCACAATCTTCAATTTCAGGCTCCTCTTCCTCGAATATACAAAATCAAACGACCAATAGAACCGAGGCCGTTTCAAGCTATTTCGAGTCTTTCAAAAGGTGAAGTTGGAGCTTCTCACATTAACCTCAGCCTCCCGAACACATCATCAGACGGTGGATTTTAGACATGTCGCCTAGGACACGAAATGCAGGTATGTGCCCTGTTGTTGTTTGCTGCACTTTTTCCCTTTTTTTTTTCAAACCATGCTCTATTTCTTGTAGGTTTTTCGAGCATCCCTGAAGAACTAAATTTCTCCATGAATTCAAACTATTTGCAAGATCAGGCCGACGAGAATGATGGGCGAATCGATGCACTTCAAGGAATAGATGGTATTAATGATTCTCATCACCTTCTTTCCAAATATCCAGGCACCATCAATGGAGGTACTTTGGTGCATATCATGGACAATTTTAATGCTGAAGATGAAGTAAATTCAGGGACTGTGAGAGCTAACATTTCAGAGGTCAATCAAGGAGTTCCTATCGTTCTATCTTCGTTGGCTTTAGTCAGTATTCCGCCTTCACAAACAAATAATCATCGAGCTGCACCAATTTGTTCTTTCATATCTGGTCCTCCACCTGGAATTACCCAAGAGTCTCCTTATCTGAAGGCTGCTCTACAAGAAGCTATGAATAATTACCTCCAGAAATGTTTTAAGGATGTCTTAAAGTATGGATTCTCCAATATTCGATCTTGGTGGGATGAAAATAATTTAATTCTTCAGAATGTGATTACCAACTCATTCCACGCAGACCCAACACCTTTGATGAAACGCATGGATGTGTTTTTGAAAAAAATTGACTCTTACATGTCTGAAAGAAAGCAGCACTTGGATTGTCCAACCGTTGAAGAAAAGAGGAGTTGAAACTTTTGAACATTCAACTGGAAGTAAAGGATTCCACGTATTCTTCGTTAAGAGGCAAAACTAGTGAGCTAACCTTTGAGCTAGATAGACTTCGTGATGAACTTCAAGCCCAAGAGGAAGACAAAAGTATGATTGGAACCAAGAAGGCAGCATTGGAAGAAGCATAGACAAGAGATGTCATTAGCATAGCATCCATTGACCAGAAAAGGAAGACCCTTGAAGATAGTTTTCTGCAAGTGATCAATGGCGAGTCATCCTTATGAAGTCATGAATTTCTGATCTCTCTTTTTTTTAAGACCATATTATTTGAATTTTGACTTACTATTTTTATTTGGATGAACTTTTCTTTTTCATGTTTATTGTGTTTTTTTTTATAGCAATTGATAAACAAATTGAATTAATTTATTAGTTGTGACTGAACTTGAATTTATAATTTATTCAAGCTGCCTACGTACCCAAACGGGATCAAGTCGAACGTAGTTCATTACAAGAGCGCAATTTTTTTTGTACAATGAAAAATTTAAAAATAAAGAACTTCAGGCGTAAAAACGCTTTAAAATTTTTCCATTGATAGGTCCGATTTGCAATTCATCTTTGTCGACGATCTTGTACGCTCTGTTAGTGAATGCATGAGTAACAAGAAATGGACCATCCCATTTAGGTTGGAACTTGCCCCCTGTTTTTCTTGTGATAATGATTGGCCTGCGCACGAAAAGTACCAGATCTCCAACTTGAAATGATCTTGGTCGCACCTTTTTGTTGAAAGACTTGGCCATTCGAGTTTGATAGCACTCTAGATGCATTTGTGCTTCTAACCTCTTCTCATCCAAAGCTTCTAGCTCTTCCAATCGAAGGCGGGCATTTTCTTCAGTTGTCAAACCTTCCTGGATAGCAATTCGAAGTGACAGAATTTGACACTCCAGGGGAAGGAGCTTCCACCCCATATACTAAGGCAAAAGGAGTGGCTTGTGTTGGAGTCGAATAAGTAGTCCGATAAGCCCATAAGACTTCACCGATTTTCTCATGTCAATCTCTTTTTGATTTGGAGACAACCTTTTTTAGTAGACTGCATAGTGTTTTGTAGAATGCCTCTGCCAATCCTTTAGCTGTCGCATTGTACATGGACGAGTTGTACTGTTTGAATCCAAACTTTGCACATAAATTGTTTATGTGGCTATTGCAAAATGGCTTTCCATTATCAGTTATGATATGTCGCGGGACACCATATCGATAAATGATTTGGATATGAATGAAATCTGCGACATTTTCTTTCTTTACTTCCTTCAATGGTATGGCTTCGGCCCACTTAGAGAAGTAGTCAGTCCCGACGAGGATGTATGCCTGCCCTGCTGAAGACTTTGGAGTTATAGGTCCAATTACATCAAGACCCGATGCATTAAACGACCATGAAGCTATTGTTGGATGTAATGGTTCCGAAGGTTGATGGATGAAATTTGCATAGATTTGGCAAGCTTCAAATTTTCTTGCATAATCCATGGAGTCTTGTACCATAGTTGGCCAGTAATATCCCATCCTCTTTATTCGAAAATGGAGTTTGGGTCCAGACTAGTGGGCACCACAAATTCTAGAGTGGGATTCTTCCACGACCTGCGTTGCTTCATCATTACTTAGGCATCGAAGGAATACTCCATCAAATGATCGTCGATAAAGTGTTCCCTTATAAAAGATAAAGCGAGAGGCATGCCTCTTAATTTCTGTTTTTCGCCTTGGATTATCTGGTAGCTTTTGATGTTGAAGGAAATCGATTATTGGCTGTCTCCAATCTTCTCTTTCCTCATCTTCGACTACTTCAACACTATTGTTTTCTTCCAAATTACTGGGTAGCAATGACGGAAGCACCCATCTTTGAGCAATTGATATGGAGTAGGAAAATTCTTCATCTGATCTAGCTAAAACAGCAGCCAAATTAGCTAAGGCGTCAGCTTTCTTATTTTCACTTCTCGAGACGAAATTGCTTTTTATCAAATCAAATCGTCTCATAAGCATTGCTGCATGTTCATGATATGGCTTCAAGTCTAAATTACGGACTTCATATTCAACTAAAAGTTGGTTGATTATCAATTTAGAGTCTCCAAAGACTTCCAGCTGGTGAATATCCAAATCTAAAGCTGTTTCTAAGCCAATGATAAGAGCTTGATATTCTGCTACATTATTCGAACATTTCTCTGTTAATGTAAATGAGTAGGGCATGACGAGATCATAAGGAGTGATGAAGACCACTCCTGCTCCGGCACCGTAACTTCGGGCTGCCCCGTCGAAGTATAGCCTCCATGATGGTATGATTTTGGCGAATAGAACTTCTTCATCGGGAAGGTCTTCCTGAAGTTCCCATTCTGCTGGAATTGGGTGGTCAGCAAGGAAATCCGCCAAAACTTGTCCTTTAATGGCCTTTTGTGGAATGAATTTGATGTCGAACTCAGACAACTGTAATACCCATTTTCCATTCCTTCCAGAAAGAATCGGCCTGGACATTATGTACTTCAATGGATCGATCTTCAAAACAAGATTGATTGTGTTTGATAGCATATAATGCCTCAACTTTTTAGCTGCGAAGATTAACGCGAGGCACATTTTTTCAATAGGTGAATACTTCATTTCAGTGCCTACCAGTGTCCAACTCAAGTAACAGAGTGCATTCTCTTTTCCTTCTTCGTTAACTTGGGCAAGAAGTGCCCCTAGAGAATATTTTTGTGCTGCAACATAAAGAGTCAGCGACTTCCCTGGAACTGGAGCTGTGAGTACTGGTGGACGAGATAAATATTGTTTAATGCTTTGGAAAGCATTTTGACAAGCGTCATCCCATTCGAATGGTACATCTTTCTTCATCAATTTGTTGAATTGATGACAACGTCCGGCTAGATTAGAGATAAATTTTCGAATGTATGCAAATTTTCCTTAAAGACTTTTCAACTCACGTACATTTCTTAGCTCTGGCATGTTGATTATAGCTTCAATTTTTGATTGATCTATTTCAATGCCCCGATGTCGAACAACGAAGCTGAGAAATTTTCCAGAGGTGACGCCAAATGCACATTTCAACGGATTCATCTTTAACTGATGTCTTCAAAGTTTTTTGAAAACATCACGTAAATCTTGTAATGATCATTGCGTCTTTTTGTTTTAACAACAAGATCATCCACATAACATTCAACGTTCTTATGTAGAATATCATCAAAAATCTTTTGCATTGCCCACTGGTAGGTTGCCCCCGCATTTTTTAATCCAAAAGGCATAACTTTGTAACAATATATGCCTTTTGGGGTATGAAATGATGTGAGTTCCTCGTCTTTTGGGTTCATCCGTATCTGATTGTATCCAGAAAATCCGTCCATGAAAGATAAGACTTCATATCCGGTAGTTGCATCCACCATCAACTCTATTATTGGAAGTGGAAAATCATCTTTCGGACATGCTTGATTCAGATCCCGAAAGTCAACGCAAATTTATAATTGCTCGTTCTTCTTTTTGACAGGAACAATGTTTACGATCCATGTTGAATATTTCACTTCGCGCATAAATCCATCTTTAATAAGTTTGTTGACTTCCATTTCAATTTGAGGAATCAGTTCTGGTCGAATCTTCTTTGGGGTTGTTTGACCGGTCGAACTCTATGTCTTACTGCAAGATGATGCACTGCAACCTTAGGATTTAACCCCAGCATTTCTTTGTAAGACCATGCAAACACGTCTTTGTATTCGTGAAGCAAACTAATGTACTCAGATTCTTCCTTTTGATTGAGAAGGGCACTTACAAATACTGATCTCGGGTCTTCTTCGGTCCCCAGGTTCAATTGTTTCAAGTCATCCACAGTAGCTTGTCCACCTTCTTCAAAAGTATATGGGGCTAGTTCAGGTTCATCAGTTGTGATAGAACTTTCGGACTCGGAGTCTAAATCGGGAGCTTCTTCAAAGGCTATGTGATTGACAGAGACTTCTTCTTTTTCTTCACTCTCCTTTTGGGACGGACAAACTTTTTGTTGTCTTCGTCTTTTTCTTGATCGTTGTAGCTTTAGGCTTGGATCAGAAGTTTTAATCCCAAGTCGAGAAAATGCATATTGTCTTTGGGATGACATTTGGGGAGCTTGTGCATTCCTATCAATTTGGGTAGAAGAAGAAGAATCTTTGCTTAATCTTTGGAAGACAGAAACTTTACCTTTTACATTGACTATTGGGGAGGGTTCTCCTTTTAACCTTTTAAACACCGAAACTCTGGCATTCTCATTTTCAATTCGATCGAACACTGAAGGTTTCGGCTATTCAGATTTCTCTTCTGTAAATTCATAAATTTGGATCATGATGGGGTTTGAGGAAACCTTCTTGACCTTAATCTTTCTTGGTGGATTAGGATCATATCCCAAACCATACCTAGGTCGGGACACCAAGGCTCCATCAGAATTAAAAGGGGGATGTCCTCCTGAAAAGATAGCATCAAGAACACCTAATTTACGAGGCTCTCCTTTTCCAAACCCAGCATTTTCAAACAACTTTTTAACCTGAGGATTGTAACATCCTTTGAAAGTTTGTTTTGATTCAGCAGCTCCTTCTTGTTTGGATGAGCTGGAAATACAGAGTTTTGATATGTTCGGAACAGATGTTAAAGCCTCTGATGTAGATTTATGTCCTTTCGGGCCCGCCATAAGTTGGTGGGGCAGAAGCAATTTTGGGATACTAGGTATTGGGAAGAGTTAACTCTTTTTTCAATACCTCAACATCGGTTGATTCTACTTGAGGTTCTTTACCTTTAGAGAATTTTTCAGATGTAAATTTTGACTTATCTTTGATAAGTTGATGAGACTGAGCAGCACTAGATGCATCATGATCGTTTGTATCTTCTTTGATTTTGAATCCAGACATGGTAAACCCTGAAGAATTACATTCTTCACCTTCCACGTAAAACTTGGCATCGGCAAAATGAGATTCTTCTTCGAGAAAAGGTTTGGACTCAGCTACCACACATTTGACTTCTCCGTCTCAACTATATTTGAAGCATTGGTGCCAAGTTGAAGGTACCATTCTAGTTTCGTGCAGCCAAACACATCCAAGGAGTAACTCATATGATGTTTTAGCATCAATGACATGGAAAAGAGCCGAGGAGATTAACTCTCCTATTTGCAGCTTTAGGCGAATCATGCCAATGGCTCGCTGACCTTTTTGATTGAATCCTTGAATCATGATTTTGCTTCTAGATAGATTAACAACATTAATTCCAATTTTCTTCTTTGTTTTGACCGGCATAATATTTACAGCAGATCCACAATCAATCATCATGCGATTTATCTTGCACTCTCGAATATAACCGCTAACATACAGTGGTCTATTATGTGGACGTGATCCCAGCTGTAAATTTCCATCGTCGAATGTTATGGCGGCCATATAGTATTGAGGAGATGTGGCTCCAATATGTTCTAAAACTTTGCATTTGTATTCTTCAGGATCGATTAATGCTGCCATCAAGGCCATCCGATCATCGAAGGGAAGGGCAAGAGACTCTACTAGACTTGTATTGGCAGGAATATTATTGAGCCGTGAAATAGTTTTCTTTTGTTTTGAAGTCTGCTTTGATACGTTCTTCTTTTCATCTTTCTTCTTCACATTGATTACATTGGAGGTTAGACATTCTTTATCAAAGAAACCCTTAGGAAAATAATCACCCAAGGTCGGTAGTCTGGGAAGAATGCTTGGAGCTGCTCCCTCTTCGGTTGATTTAGTAGATACTCTTGGCTTGGCTTCAGGCCTCCTTCTTTGATTGTTCCTTCGTCTTGATTTCTTGTCATAAAAGTTAGAAACTGGGAGTCGTGGAGCCTTCCGACGACGTCTTTTCACTAGGGTCCATGCCCCCTGATCTTCTTCTAGTGTTTCTTCTTTATTGGGTTGAATTTTCATATCCAATTCCTCCAGCTTTGTTCCTACAAGAGGGGTAGAAGGTAATATATTACCTATTTTGTTTGACATTTTATATTTCTTTTTCTTCTTTATGAAGGTAGACCAGCCGTCACCGATCTCGTCTTCTAATTCTGAGTCGAAATCCCAAACATCCAAGTCTCCTGTCATAATTTCATAAAAGGTTGGATGATTGGGTGCGCTTGGTCCATTCATCCTTGGATAGATATAACTGATGGTGATTTCTCTGTCTACCTTAAATTTCACTGGAATGGCTCCTTCAGGGAGTTGAGGTCCAAATTCCTCAACAGAGGATTTACAGGCATTGTGTACATCAGAGAATGTTTGTTTCTTTCCTGAAATGGGAATTGGATCAAATGATCCAATTGAAACCATCGAGCCTGTGGCTGTTGGATTCTCTCCGGTCTCAAGTTTGATCTTATTTTCTTTGTCCAAGCAAATAATAAGATCGTTCAAAACAAAGCATTTAGGATGATCGATCTGACCAGGCTCCTCAGGTCTTTTTGGCACTGGAAGTTCGACTATTTTCTGTTCAATGAGCTGATCCAGAATTCCAGAAACTTCTGAATCTGAGAATGGGTACTCGCTTCCTTCAAGTTCTTTTAGAGTCACATGACTTCTGCTTTGGACTTGTCCTTTGTTAGGTCTAAACTCTAGCTTCAGTTTTGAGTTCGAGCTCGACCCTTAGAAGGTTATCTTTGCAGGAGCCGTAGAAATCACCATAGCCTCTTTGGATTTACTTGTCTTGACGTCCTTCTTTATATCCTTCTTAGGATCTTTCTTGTCACTTGGTAAATAACTCCCATGCCTTGCAATTTGGAGCTCCAGGTCATGAGCACGTGTCGCCAATTCTTCGAATGAGTGAGGCATGTTTGCTTGGAGATTATAGAGCAATCCCCAATGCATGCCTTGTACACACATGTCGATGGAAGATGCTTCACTTATTCGTTCTTTACAATTAAGCACAAGGTTTCTCCAGCGTTCAATGTACTCTACTACATGCTCTTCCTTGCTCTGCTTTGTTTGAGCAAATTCTGGAAGGCTGACAGTTCGTCGGGTGCTGTAGAAGCGTGTTAAGAACTCTCGCTGGAGTTGATCCCAACTATCAATTGACCCTGCCGGTAAGTCTGTGTACCATTCAAATGCGGAACCTTTGAGGGAGCATACGAAATGCTTCACCATTGTATCATTGTAAGTACATGCATTGTTACATGTCTCAATAAAATGACCAACATGTTGCTTTGGGTTACCCTTTCCGTCAAAACATTGAAACTTCGGAGGTCAGTAACCAAGTGGCATCCTTATTTCGTCGATTCGATGACTATAAGGTTTGGTATACACCAATGAAGATTGCAACGAACCACCATATTGGGCACGAATGGTGTCCCCAATCATATGTTGAAGTTGTTGGATGGATAGAGAGCCAACGGGGAGTTGAGTGGCGTCATGCAACACATTTTGAACAATTGTTCGATCATGTATATCTTGCTTTTGCTAATATTCTTGGACTTCTAACTCTTTGGCCTTGGAAGATCCTAAATTTTCCTGATCTTCTTTAAGCAGTGGATTTTGCGACTCTAGTTTATGCATGAGTGCGGTAATTTGGGCATCTTTTTATTCTAACGACTTTGTTAATTTTTCAATAGCTAAAGCCATTTGTTAGATTCGATCATCTGAGCCCGATGCCGCTTCTATGACCATCACTGGCTCAAGTGATTCTTTAGATGAAGTAACATCTTTCCACTTTTGCTGAGAAGTAGCATGAGGGGATCCAGATAAGGATCTACCACTGGAGATGGATCCCGAACAAGAGTTTTTCGTCGAACTCATGGTTTTTGTGTCGAATGAGAGTTTAGCTTTCTGAAGGCAATTTTCATTCTGTTTTTGTTGGAGAATTTCTTTAGTGGTGTGACCAGTTGAGTTTTCCTAGTTTTTGTTTGGACCCTGATCGCGTGGAAGAGTTCAGCAAGTGCCTCTTTGAGATGAGTCATAGTTTGTTTCACCTTTTCGCTTGCCATTGCTGATGTAGTATTTGAAACTTGAAAATTTTGAGATCAAAAGAAGAGAGGACAAGAAGGTCCCACCAGGCATGCCAAGAAATTTGTACGACGAAATTTCGTGTATTAAAATACAGAAATCGTTACAAATTGTATTTTAATAAATACAAGTGATGTTGACCTTCTTATAATTGCAAAATTGCAAAATCCTATGATTAATAATCTGAATATTTGAAAATGAGGGGTCACGTGGCTTGAATCCTGGTCTTCAATAATTTGTTGAAAATTTGATTTGTCGAGATTTGACTTGTTTGGAACTTGAATCTTAAGGCTTGAGCTTGGACTTGAATTTGATTTGATTTAAAGAAGACTTTGATCTTCTTAGACTTTGGCGTGAACCTGTTTGATTCGAAGAAGATTTTAATCTTCTTGGGGTTCACCGAGTTAAAGTTTGACAGAATTTCTTCCCTTCTT